ATAAAAGTCTCATCAAGCAAATTCTCGCTCAGCAAACATGTTCTCATGAATAATTAGTATTTTTATTTACGCAAATTTTCATGACTTGTTTTTCATTTTCACTCGTGCAATAAAACTCGCAATACTGCCGAAGGATAGAAGTAAGCAAGAATATTCTTTAAGCAACGTTGCGCATTGCATATTGAAGTTGTGTCGCCACTGCATGTCGCTTCCTGCCTTCGACCACAGTTCACAGGTCACGGTGCAAATGCGCTGCTACATTGACGCACAAATAAGAGTGATTAAAAATAAGTTCCATCATTTGGCTCGTGTCCACAAACGAAAGTTGAGGCAAGCGGTTGTGCAGTTGAATCATTGCGAAATTTTGCTATACTTGCTGCTGCGCGTGTCTGGAGTGGCGTGTTCTTCAAGTTATCCGTTGATAACTTTTGCTTTTTGCTTGCAAGTCAGTAGATGAGTGACTTATCTTTGCGTTACTTTATACTTGCTTTTCCTCTTCCCTCCAACCTAATTTCTTCCATCTTTGTATTCCTTAAATTCGTCATTGTGTGTGGTTGTGCTGTCATTGGTTCTGATCTGATATTTTGTATTAATTATTACTTTTTGGATTTTCCTTTTTATTCGTATCGCTGAAATGACTCACTTCTAACTTTCTGACGACTGCACTTCAGTTATTGCAGTATTTAACGGCTCTTTTCCATACGACTCATGGATATAAAATGGACGTGACGGCTGTATCACCGTGGAATGCTCGACAGTTTGATTTAATTTTAAGAAATTATGCTTGTCGCCCCATGTGATGGAATGCATGGGCGAATGAATGCTCACTTACAGGTTCGGAAATTGCGGTTATTTTGATTGAGCAGTTTGTTCCCCTCACTTTTCTACCTCCGTCATTGTCTTGTAATGACTTTGATATTTTTATTTGCAGAACTTGTAATTTTGTGGTCGCGCAATTGGAAAACCTGATTGGTTTTCGATCTCACGCGACCACCGCTTCTGATATTGTGGATGGAAGAATGTTGCAGCGTGAATTGAAATTTAAAAAAATTGGATCGTATTGGAACATGGATGGATACTGCATCACAAT